TCATCTCTTTAACTCTTAGTCTCCATCCTGAAATTCCCAATAGTATTTTTCAGAAATAGTTTTTTTTCATTACTATTGTTAATTTGGTGAAGAAAATGTTGCCCACAAGTAAATCTAATATGGATAGCTTTCTTGAAAAGACCTCTCCTCGTGTCCGTGTTCAGTTTCATACTCAGGTAACATATTGTTTATTTTTCTTTTCAAAAGATCTGCATGAATGAATATTCTCAAATGGAATGAGAATCAAAAATATCTAATCAATTTTCACGTACAAAACCAAAACCATTTTCTTTTGAAGAGCAAAGAACAATTAAACAATCAAATCCGCCAATGGATTTTTTAAGTGGATAAATCAAAACCAAAGTCTGAAAGATAGTTTTAGTTTCATGGTGGTAATGAGGTCAACGTATTTAATTAATTATCAATTGAAAATTAAGGTAATAGTTAGAAGAGAATTTGATTTCACCCACGGATTATTGACCCAAAAGTTAAATCGTAAAGCATAAAAAATAAAAATTACAGACATTAGGTCATATTCTTTACCCCGACCAAAAATATTTGGGTCATTTGAATAAGTCTAATAATATAAGGATCAATTTATGAAAATGGAAACAACACGAGGGGTTACTAAGAAAATAAATATGATGGCTTTATCCAACCCGGCTTAAGGATCCGAATAGCATGATCCGGTTGTAATCGGGTCCGTTGTATAATCTGTGCAGGGATCGTCTTCTTCCGCTGAAGAAGTGAAAATCCCTCGATTCGGACTCAGAGATGTTTGGAAGGCTTGTGAAAAGTGGAGCTGTTATGGTGTTGAAGTTCCTCTCTCCATCGAAAACTTCAATGAGAAGGTTAAGCAACACTATGTTCCTTCACTCTCCGCCATTCAGATCTTCACCATCAAACCCTTCGCTGATGATGATTCTTCTTCAAGGTTAGGTTTTTATGGTTTTTGATTTCTGTTGCATGATGAATTGATTCTGTGGTGTTTTGGGCATTGATTAAAACCCTTGTTCGTCGGAATTTTTGGTGAAA